GGTTAACAACATCCCCTCCCACCCCTGAACCAAACCCCAATCTGGCCTTGAACATAGGCCTCCATCCTCTTGCCCAGACTGTAGCAAGTTTCAGATAGGCATTTTCCTTCTGCTCTCAGCTCAAGGGCTCTAATTCCTGCCCCAGCCCCTCCTGGAGAGTAGATACTGGAGCTTAGGGTGTTGAGGGGTGCCTGTGGGCCGGGCCTGAAGACATAGGCCCTTGACTCCTGCTACCATTCTGCTCACAACATGGTCTCTTTGCTTCCTCAGGCTCCCCTATGCAATGGCAGTATGGTATGGAGCGTGGATCTGACAGCTGGCGGGGTAAGGAGCCTGGGCTTCGAAATGTGGTGGTGGCTGTAGGCCTAGGGCTTCTTCTCATGCAGTTAGGGCTTTAAAAGCCACTTTCAGAGCTAGGCATGCCTGGAATATCAGAATTTCAGAGGCTGAGGCAGGAGGATTACCATGAGTTTGAGGCCAGTCTGGAGTATATAGTAAGTTCTAGGCTGGCCTGGGCTACAGAATGAGATCCTACCTCACAGAAATGAACTGTAAAAGCAAACTCTAGCTCAGTGGTTCTCAACCTTCCTGATGCTGCAACCCTTTAATAAAGTGCCTCATGTTGTGGTAACCCGCCCCTAACCATAAACTTATTTTCATTGCTACTTCACAACTGTAATTTTGCTGCTGTTATGAATTATAATGTAAGTATCTGATATGCAGGATATCTGATATATGACCCCAAAGGCATCACGACCCACGGGTTGGGGACCACTGCTCAAGAAGCTACGCACTCACTCCTCATAGTCTAGGCTACTCCTGCCACCCATACCCATCTGGCCATTCCGACTTCCTTCCTGTGACCTGGGCCAGGCCTAACACCCACCCTCTTCTCCACAGTTCTGTGCAGCCCTGGATTCCCTGACCAACATCTCCAGTTGCAAACCCATCTACAAGACCCAGAGGATATTGAACGGACTCTGTGACCGAAAGGCATCAGCTGGGGTAAGGCTTGTTCCTACTGCTAGCCTGGCCAAATGCCCCATGTATGTGTCCACCCAAGAGCAGGTCCACTGTGGCAGTAGGGAACCAGATTTAAGGAGTTACAGGTCCTGGGCTCAAGGGCTCCCAACTTTGACCTGAGCCTCAGTTTCCACATTTGTAGAGGCAAAAACAGACCCCACCTGGCAGGGACTTTTGGGAGCATTGTATGGGACAGTCCCTGGAAAGCCCCTGGTGGGCGCTGGCTGTCCTTGATATTGGCGTCCCTGTAACGGATGGACCTCTCTGTTGTTTTACAGGTTTCCAGCCCCCCAGATACCAAAGTTGAAGTGGCCCAGTTTATTATAAAGCTGCTCAGCTACTCAAAGCAACTTTACCGCCGCGGTACCTTCCACTGAAGAGAGAAACGCACAGAGACAGGCCCTGGTCATCTCAGTGGTGGAGCCATTTTTCTTTCTCACATCAGACATTTCTTGGGGAGGCAGGGAGGGAGGGTTGGGAACCGATGAGATTGCCTTAGCTTTGACCTCAGCCTGCACTGCCTGCCTAGTGCCAGGTGCTCAGCCTGGCAACCGCCCCCACCCCTATGCCTGTGGTCCACTTCACACAGGCCAACTGAGGCAGAAAGCAGGTTGGGCATATCTCTTCTTAATCTTATTTATTATGGTTGTATGTTATTTAAATGAGTCTGTCAGTATTGGGGCGGGGGGAATGGTTTGCTGCCTATGCCCTGAGACTTGGGGACCCAGCCCTGAAGCAGTGGGCTCTGGGGTCCCTGGCAATAATTACTGTATACACAATTCTGCTACCTCACTGGGGCTTCCAGGTCTCACCTCAGGCAGGGGACAGGAGGGAAGGCTAGAGCAATGGTCCTGTCTGCCAGCCAGCAGCAACCAACCCTCACCCATGAAGTAACTTATTGTTTTATCCTTATATTTAAAATATTAACTAGGTTAGCAAAGAGTTAATAATATATGGAAGCATGGCCTGTTACACTTAAGGTGATATGTGGGGAATGGGGCAGGGGTTGTCATTGAACAAGTTTTTTCATTGACTGTCAAACTAGAAACCGGAAATAAAGATAGTGACAGATAAGCCTGCCTGCTTTTGCCTTTCTCTTTGGGTTCCTGGGGATGCTGGCCTGTGGGTTCCAAATTGAGGAGCCCAGTGTGAGGCAGACTGCTCAAAGGAGGTAGAAGGAGTGAAGGGCAAGACCTGGGCTGACAGCAAGCCCTCTGGGCTGGGGGGAGGGGTGAGTAGAGGATACACCCCCTGTCTACTGTTGGTGAACAGAGGGAGCTTGATCCAGGAAGTTGGGGTTCAAGGGGGATGTCTGGAGCAGGCGGGGAACCTCCTGGGTATCTCCTAATGACTGGCCAGCTGTGTCTGCACCACCCACACAGTCTCAGGTCTCCCTTGCCACAGTAGGAGGCACATAAGAGCCTGAGCCTTAGTGAGGGCAGGAGGCTTGCCCAAGGTACCTGCTGGGAAAGAACGAAGCCCACATTGTCTCTTTTCAAAAGTCACCAGCTTAAATGCATGGCTCTTCTTCACTATATTGCCAGCTTGGATGTCCCCTGTTGATGGGGCACTCACTACTTACATTCTAGCGACAGCCTGTTCAATTTCTGGACTCCATTCATTATCACTTTGTAAGCCAGGACGAACCAGTTGACATGTGGGGGACCGGGGTAGACTGACAAGGCCATGGAAGATGGCACCTCAGGGTAGGTGGCCTGCCTCCCTCTTGCTGGCTCAGAAGATAGAGTGGTGAGGGTGTCTGCATCAGTAAGCCCTGGCTAACATGATGTCTGTCAGTATCCTTGGGAAGTGCTGCCAGGAGCAAAACGAGACCTAGAAGGGCAGGGTACCTCTGCAGCAGGTGTGGACAGGGTTCAGAGACCACTCAAACTCTGAATGACAGGCAGGCACCCTCCTGGGGCAGGCCAGAACCTGAGATTCCAGCACTCAGAGCCACATGGCAACCATGCAACACCAGAGGCTGTGGCAGGAGCTCATCCAGTTCCCAGGGAATCAGTGTTCCCTTCTTGCCTCACTGCCAACAAGGGAGACAAGGGAAGAGGCCAAGCCATGGCACTGGGAGTTGGCACTTAGCAATAGAAAATCACTGCAGAGGGGCGTGGGATGTGTGCAGCAGGGGACAGGACTTCAGGAGTGCCAAAGGGGTCACATTCCCTGAGGACCATCTGTGGCTGGCACAACACCAGCCACCTAGCCTAGGGACTGCAAGATGTGGTACCAGACAGAACTTACAAAGGTGGGGAGACGATGCTCTCCTCCATCATCCCTGCTGGGAGTACTGTGGGAAGTCAGGGATGAGCAATGACTTTGGCATCCTTCCCTACCCAGAGCCTAGAATCAATGACTAGATGGGTTGTTTTGTTTTGTTGGTTTTTCTCTGTGTAGCCCTGACTGTCCTGGAACTAGTTCTGTAGACCAGGCTGGCTTTGAACTCACAGAGATCTGACAGTACCTGCTTCTGTGTGCTGGGATTAAAGGCATGCACCACCACTGCTGGCTGAACCTTGTTCTTCTATATAGGTCTCTCACTCACTGGTCTAGGACTGGCCTACTAGGCTATTTACGCTAGTTGGTCAACAATCCTCAGAGATGCTCTAGACTCTGTCTCCCCAGCCCTGGAGTTAGATGTGTGCACCATCTTACCCTCTTTCTCATGCTTTCAAGGCAAATAATTTACCCACTGAGCCACCTCCCCCAGCTGACTCCAAGAATGGTGATTTTCTTAACAACAGAATTATTTTCCAGGCATCCTCTCATCTTTACCCAAGTCCCCTCTACCTGACCAAGGTGTCACCTTGGGACACCTTGGGAGATGGTTCAGGGATAAAAACACTTGCCATGCAATCCATCTCTGGGACCAGTACAGAAGGTCAGACACAGTGGTAGCATCTGTAATCCCAGCACTCTAAGGTAATATGGGAGGTGAAGACAGGAGAATTACCCAGAAGCTCATGGGTCAGCTAACTCCCCCAAAGGATGGAATGACTGGGCTGGAGAGATGACTCTGTGGTTAAGAGCACTGGTTGATCTTCCAGAGGACCCAGGTTCGATTCCTAGCATCTACCCATGTGGTGGCTCATTACCAACTATAACTTCAGTCCCAGTGGATCTGATGGTCTCTTCTGGCCTCCATGGGCACTGCTCATACATGGAATACATACATTCAGACAAACCCTTATCCATAAAATAAAAAAAATAAAATCTCAGCCCAGCATAGTGATGCACCTTTATAACCAGCACTTAGGAGGCAGAGGTAGGTGGATCTCTGTGAGTTCAAGGCCAGCCTGGTCTACAGAGGGAGTTCCAGGACTGGTTCCAAAGCTACAGAGAAACCCTGTCTCAGAAAAATTAAACTAAAAAGAATTTTTTTTTGAGACAGGGTTTCTTGTGTAACAGTCCTAGATATCCTGGAACTCACTTTGTATATCAGGCTGGCCTCTGCCTCCTAAAGGTGTGGCCATTATTGCCCAGCTTAAAAAAAATTTTTTTTAAGGCTGAAAGAGAACCAAAAGTTGTCCTTTGGCCTCCACATGTACACAGTGGCACAGGTGTACATGCACTTAAAAATGTGTCCACATACATGTGTTCACACATACACACGGGTTCACACATATACATGAGTACACACACACACACACACACACACACACACACACACACACACACACACATGCCAAACTCTCCCTCTCCTTTTTCCTCTGTCTTCTTTCTCTCTCCTCTCTCCTCTGTATCCTCTGTCTCTCTATGTCTCTGTCTCTCCCTCTCTCCCTCTCCCCTCTCACCCTTTTCCCCTTTTCCCTTTCCCCCTCTCCCCTCTCCCTTCTCCTCCATCCCAGAACCATTCCAAAGGGAGCCTTCCTGATACAAGGTATATATGGAGCCATACCAGGTCTGGCCACTAGGGGTCCACAGCTAGCTCAAGCCTCTGCCACGGTGGCCACAATCCTTCACACCAACTCAGGCAGGGGCGAACCCATGCTCCTCCATAGGGTGCACTGGGCCCTTCAGGAACAAAGGATAACTTACATTGCCACAGAACAAAGCTGGTATAGCTGACAGCAAGGAGGTAGCCCAGTCAGGGCCAAGAGGAGGAGGAAGAAACAGGAGAAATGTAAGTTTGGGAGCATCACCTAGAGGTCCTAGAGGGACTCCTAGGGAGCTGCTGGGACTTTTCTCCCATACACAAGGGCAACTCAGCCGGGCCCAGAAGACAGGGGAGCAGAGAAACGCTGAGGGCCCCCCGAGGAGTGGGGGAGGCAAGCTGGTCAGTGCATGGGGTGAGCGGCCCCTCAGCACCCCAGGCCCCGGAGGTTTCACGGGAGGGAGGGAGGAGCGGGGGCTCAGGTGAGAAGTGAGACACACACTCGGTTTCCGTTGAACTCAAGAGCAAGGACTTCTACCACTCAGGCAAGTTGTTGAAAACACAGTCCCTGCAAGAGTTTCTCTGAGGCCAGTCTCTGAGGTGTTCAGGACAAAGAGGAGTTTGGCAAAGGACGAGCCGTGTCTGTCCCCTAGTGCTGAGGGCAGCTGGGAGGATGGGGCTGATCAAGCCATCAGCTGTTACATTTACACCACAGCCAGTGCTTTGCCTCTGCAGTCAGCTGGTCAATGGAAACCAACCTCAGTCCTGCTTCTCCCTACTGAGATGGTGGCAGGTGCCGTTGACCGTGTGTCTTGGCTGGAGGCACCCTGGTTGTGTGGTCGGGACTAGGGCTGTGTCCACAGTCACCCTCCCCCACTGAAAACTAAAAGTCACGAGGCCTCATTATCTTCATTCATTTCTCAGCTCCACCCAAAAGTGACAGAGCGCATGGCTTGCAACGAACTTTCCCAGATCAACTGATTTCTCGGCAGCCAGGGAGGGCCCCCATGACGAAGCCATTCGAAATCCCAGAACCAATTTTCTACTTACGACCTCACTTTCTGTTGCTTTCTCTCCCTTCCCCTCCACAGTGCCATCTCGAGTGGAAAGTGATCCCCTCACAGAGTGAATGCTTAAGAAACGCCCCCAGTCCTGCCCTGCCTGGGCTGTTGTGTGGTCAGAGGTGACGCAGGCACCAAAATTAAATATAGCAGATCTCGTCACCTCCGCTCTGAGCATCACAGTGGACCAGTGTGTGGGGGCTGCACAGCTCTTCCTGAAGGCCACATGGGGAAGCAGCCTGGCTACTGGCTATCTGGACCTGTAGGTCTGTGATTCCTGTCCCTACTCAGGCCCACACTGGAGGAGTTCAAGGGACATCAAGGAAGAAAAAGCAACTTCTCACAGTTTTCTCACCTCTGCTACATACTTTTTTATAATGAGTATACATCAATTCCCCAGTGGGGCCGGGGGGGGGGGGGGCAAAGACAAATTTAATATAGACAGCATGATGTCACCTCTGCTACATACTTTTTTATAATGAGTATACATCAATTCCCCTGTGGGGCCGG